TAGTGAATCCCCTTTCTCTTCTTTTCTTTCTCTCCCGTCTCTCTCTCTCGAAGTTCCCCTCCGTCCTCCCTGGTCTGTTTCTGAAATCTCTTTCTCCTCGTGTTCGGTGGCGGCTTCCATCTTCGCAAAGACGCATAGTGGCGGAGCATAGGGTTCTTTGCAGAAGGCTAAGAATCGCCGCTTGCTTAGTGTTTTGGAAATGCCTCACACAAGCCGTCGCCCCAGTAGCAATTCTGAGTACCGTAATTTTCAACAGATAAAGCGCATTTTTTTACAATCTTTTTGTTGCGTTGTTGCGTTTTCTAAAACGGTGCACATATATGCGTATGTGCTTAAAACGAAATGCTGTCTGCCTTGTATATAGCAAATTTGCTTTCTCAAAGAAAGCGTGGAAATGCCGACTAGGTGAAGAATAATTAATTTCTACAATAAATCCAAAACTAGGAAGCATGCTAAGATTACAAAGCACAAATACGGCTCTGCTAATGCAGTTTCCAAGGACAAAATTGTACTAGGAACCAGTTTCTCCAGACGAATAGAAAAAGAAATATGCTGCTCTCCAAAATATTATCACCAGCTTCTTGGGGACTGGAGTAATCTTTCGTAGTAGTGCGTGTTCATAAACATATTCTTCTGTGGCCAGTTGGTTGGACGCTTAAGCGTAGAAAGCTTGGCTAAGGAGGTTTACTTGACAGGTCTACGAGTGCCATTTCTGGTTGGTGCCCAAGGTGAGATCAGGCCTTGAGAAGCGCTCACAATTTTTGTTTCCAATAATGTTTGGTTGGCTTTTTTTAGTTTTAATTTATAATTGGTAAATTAGTCAGCACATCTGAAAAAAGAAGAGAGCCACTCATGATAGAAAATATCGTTGTTCCTTCTTAAAGTTTGCGTTGAAAGCGTTTGGATAATACAGAAATGTTTTCACGCTATTTAAACCTGAAACATATCTTAAAAAATTTGACGCTTACGTCAAATCTGTGTAACATTGTCTTTAAGCTAGCGGGAAAAAATTATACGGATTTTGTTAACTTCTTAAGTGGTCGCTAAATTTACTCCATATTATATTGGTCGGATTCTTGCCATAAAGCAGATTCTGCGTTGCGCGGCATACCTTCATTTATGTGCGTTCGCAACTGTGAAGATGCTGCCTGATGTCACGTATGCAATAACGCTGATTGTAATCCGGCAACTGCACGGTCTGCACCGCTTCCTAATGGCTTTCATTTGGTTGAATGAGCCGTGAAACAAAAAACAATTGCATGATAAAGATATTGCGTATAAAATTTATAACCAATCCTTCGCTGTAAAAATCAAAAGAAAAGAAATTAAAATACATTTTGTCATTTGTTTCCTCGTCGAAAACATATGAACGACCAAGTCGGGTTGAATTCATCGCATTGAACTTGTATCGCATTCAAATGAACACTAATACCAACGTTACTAAACCACTCGGTTGGGAAACTTCCATAGAGACTGCTCTGAAAAAGTGTCCCCGATCCGTCCTCGAGCACCGAGCTAATGGCGAACACAACGCCACTATTTCTGCCGCAGCGGCCACTCCAGGAACTGCGCGTGACTTCTATTTTGGCGTAAGGACCAAGGAGTTGGTAAGGACAGATACAGTGGTAGAGGGTACAGGGGCGCCACACCGGTCTGCCCGGCGGACGCGCCGCGTGTTACTACCGAAGTTAAAATGCACCTAGGTCGGGACGCGCTACCTGAAAGGACCGCTGAGGCAGGGTTGTATAAAAACAATATTAATTGTGCCGCAAAACCTTGCAAACTAAAGATTTTAAAAACATCACGCGCCCTTGGTTTTGTACTAAACTCCAATAAATTTCATACAAAAAGAGTCTTTTCCGTTTGTTTTTACGCAAAAACATGCTTTCCAAAAGCTCAAGGTGACCACAGTACAGGCAAATGATAAAGAGTGGCGCTGTTGTCGTATTTAGCTCGGTCTCGGTGGACGCCAGCGGCCCAGGTTTCGACGGAGAGTTTCCCAACTGAGTGTTTTAGTAACGTTGACTAATACCTAAGAAAATGGGCGTTTATTAAGGCCCAATTGCCCTCGGAAAACTAGCCAAGCGAATAATCGGCGTCGTCGAAGATGTTCCGACGGGTCTCCTTGTTGGATCGGCTGTGGCTTTTTGTAGCATTTCTGCAGTCACGCGGTTTCCTCGACGCAAAATAGCCCTAATTTATTCGCTTTTTTCGGAGAACCTATTTGAACAAACTGCAAATCCAAACGTTTTTCACAGCCTGAAGCGAATTCAGGTGAGGGGAGTGTGAAGCAGACCAATACCTCCTAGATATATTAAAACTTACACTACGGCCGGAATTTCGACGGTAGTGCTCAAGTTTCGGCGTCACCTCAGAAAAGGCCGATGCGGGGCACACATCGGACAGGAATGCGGGGTTAGCGCTCGGCTCGGACTCGTGCTTTGAATTGATTGGACACGAGACACGGCCGAACGCTCACGCATCACTCATATCCAATCTGCGGTCCGCGTTGGCCCCTTTTAGGTGACGTCAGAAATTAAGCTCTACGGCTTTGAGATCCAAGATATGTTCAGCATACACGTAGCAAACTGGGCTAGGTGAACATGATTTACGCTGCAATGCGATAGTCCAAACTCATCAGAAAATTCAACATACAGAATTTTAACCGCCTTCATTTTTTACCTCCGTTTCGACGATTCTTGTGCACCCTGTTGTTTTTGAAACTACTAATTTATGCGGTACTACTTAAATGAAAGGACCTTTTATATGTTCCATTATATATATATATATATATATATATATATATATATATATATATATATATATCAATACTAAAATTCGAATTGATGCGAATTCAATATTGTGTTTTAGAAAAAAAAAGTATTTTTCTGTTTCCTTATATTTTTGTTTTGTTGGCTCTATCGGGTAGTAGTACATTCTGCTTCATATCTGCTCATACGAGGTGTGATTAAAAAGTTAACAGACTGATTTTACAGTGTAGACAGAGAGGGCAGCACAGTGGTGCACGCGCAGCAGTCGAGGGCAGGGACCTTCCTGCGTCATTATGCCAAAGAACATCGCTCCGTCAACATTTGGAACTGCGCTACTCGAACTTGTTTGACAACATGCACGACCATAATGGAGATCTCTCTATAGACTGCAAACCAAAGCGAGAGCGAACATTAATTTTACTTCTGACTTGGCAAATCTAAAAGAGAGACCTCGGAAATTATTTAAAGGCCGTAGTCAAAAAGCTGTGAGGTGTGCGAGGTGTTTTGAGTGGTACTTGCGCTTCAAGAGTAGCAGAATGTTACTGAAGTCAAGGAGAGGTCGGATAAGGTCCCCATAAGGTCGTCTTCCAGCGGTGTTCGGCCGTTCCTAAAGCGGGAGTGCCACTTAAAACGCGTTGCTAAATTCACTGGTTTTTGACACGAGGCAGCATAATCATTTCAAAGGTTGCTGTTTTGTAGTTACCAAGTTTGACGCAGAATTGATGTGTGCTCGCTCTGGTTTGCAGTCAATGGTGAAATCGCCCTTTGCGGGAGCACGTGGTCGCAAAAACTCGTGTATCGCAGCTCCTAATGTTCAATGAGCGACGCCCTTTGGTATTACGTGACATGTAGGTCCATTTCCTTCGACTGCTGTGCGAGCATCCCTGTGCTGCCCTTTTTTTATGCTACAAATCAGTCTGAACTTTTTGATGACACCTAGTACTCTGTTTAAGAATATTTCTGCTTCATAGCATAGAGGGCTATGGTATTTAAGCAAATAGAAACATTCTCTTTACTTAGTAGGCCGTGTTATAAAGTAATTTTGAGGTATGATATATATGGCTTACCTAAAAAGAGTGTTTCAAGACGGTTAAGTTTTACAGGGACTTTGAAGACATGTTTAGCTAACAAAATAAATAATCTCGAGAAATCCTTCGCTGTTTTGTGTTATAAATAATTATTATTTTATATATTTATAATTATTTATAACTATTTATTTTATAAATATTCATCTGAATTCGTCTGGGAGAAGTGATGAACACTGCGAAGGTAGGAAATATGAAAATGTTGATTTTGAGATGATATGTAAGTTCACATACATTCGTTTACTGAACTCAAATTTACACGACGGAGTAGTCACGTATAGTACTTGAGTTTTACGTTTCATTTTTTAGCTGAACCTGATGCTCAATTAAAATCCTATTCTTGATTGAGCGATGTGCTCTTCTGCAAGCATTAATTGCCTTTCATCAAAACGTGCTTACTTTGTAAAAAAAAAACAAAAAAACAAAAAAAAACAACGCTTTCGAATTTACTTAAAGGTTTGGTGCGCTGCTTAGGAACCCGGATGCGGGATTCGGTTGTCACAAAACATTGCTATTTTCAGCTCTAACAATGCAGAAAATTAGCCCTGCGGGGTATTACACTCTATACAGGTTGTTTCGTAAAATACAGCCTGCATAATAATCTGCTTACTTAAAACAGTATACCCAGTGTCGGTGGATCTTTAGCCTAGAACGGTATCACTGCCCTGTTATTGCCATGTCTCTTGTAGATAGAAATGGTTAGTTGTACACTGAATCTAGGAAAGAAGTAGACATACGGTCATCGTTTCAGCCATTATGCACTTTATTGTAGCTAATGGAGTACACCTCGATTAGAAATTATACATTGAGCTCACAATTATTTACGTGACAAATGGGCGCAATTTTGAAGAAGTTCTTTTATATATTTGTTTTCAACCAGGTAGGGCCAAAATATATGCTTGTTGCTTAAACGTGAATAAAAAAAAAACACATAGAACGAAGACAGGACTTTTGTCCTGTGTTTATTCTACATATCGCTTTTCTTCGATTGCTGTAGCCTACCTGCGCGCTCAGATTCGCGAGCTTAAACGTTTCTCTTTATTATTTGTCGAACAGATGCTTGATATATGCTTGCTTTGTGTACCTACAGACATGCATCAGTAGGCGCGTTTTTCTAACGTTCGGGGAACCTTCTTTGTTTTAGGAGTGCTTCAAATGCGGAGGCGTGCTGCCCAGCGGAGAGCTGGCCGTGATCGCGCCGAAGTTTGGCGAGCTGGTTGCGTGGCACCCGGCCTGCTTCGTGTGCGCAGCCTGCCAGGAGCTGCTGGTGGACCTGACGTACTGCGCCAAGGACGGACACCTCTACTGCGAGCGACACTACGCTGAGACCCTCAAGCCCAGGTGCTCCGCGTGTGACGAGGTATGTCTAGATTGGAATAATTCCTCTACGGCGGCCAAGTCGGCCAAAACCAACACCTCTGAGATAACACGGCCGCTTTTCCACGTCACCTAAAGAAGTGAGCGCGGTTTACTCTTATTGCGCACAAGTGCTGCGTGATTGCTCGGCTGAGGCTCGCTTTCAATCAGTGAGGAGACGAAACCAGCCGAACGTTCTGACACAGCACTCATGTCCATTCCGTACACAACGTTGGCTTCCTTAGATGACATCAACAATTCAGCCACTTCGGACTTGTTATTCAGGAAGTGTTGCCAGAACGAGTCCCTTCGAGACTTAGAGAGGAGTCATATTGAATGGGTTAAAACAGCGCAAAAAAGACGAAGGACCAGTAAAAGGAAACACACAGACACAGCGCTGACTTACAACTGAAATATTTACTACTGCGTTGTAGGTCAGCGCTGTGTCTGTGTGTTTCCTTTTACTGGTCCTTCGTCTTTTTTGCGCTGTTTTAACCCATTCAATATGACCATCAACCAACTCGCCCAACTTTACACCTTGTTAGAGAGGAGGTGCGAAAGAGAGCGGTGTCTCCGCGCATCAGAAGAGGAGGCTTGAAAAGGTGAGAGGGAGTGATCATGTGGACAAGGGGGCTTGAACCCTGCCACTTGATTTTCTTCGGAGCGTAGCAAACCAATGCAAGCAGCGTCTCGGCCGTGACTTCTTCGTTTGTTATAGCGCGTCTGGCACCTGTTACTCGACAAAACAACGCAGACGACTCGCAGACGACGCCGGAGCTCGGCGACTCGGCGCCCAGATGCCACAGCACCCTCTGCGCAGAGAGCAGACGTGTCACTCCTTTTCACCCCGATATCATCCAATCAGAACTCGGCACTATAATGTCACTGTACGTTCTGGGGGAGACCCAGACGAACTTTCTCACCGCAAAGGCACTCTACATCCTTTTGCTGAACTGTGTGATACTCGTACCTAACAGGTCTTCCAGTACGAAGGGGGGAGGGACGATCATTTCACTTTATAAAACTCTTTTCTCGCACAAGGTCTTGTGCGATCGGAGCATAGTTGTGCAGCTATACTCCGTTCACCCTTAAGCTGAGACTGCAGCCCAAGCTACAAGCGCGAGCTTGCCCGCGCTCCTGGCTTTGAGACACGCATTTCTAGCGCGGGCGCACGTTCTGCGGAAGAACGCTTCAAAGCAGCCACCTCAAGCTCTCGTGCTCGTGGCATTGCCTGTAGTATCAGCTTAAGGGTGAACGAGGCTCGCACCCGTAGCTCTGACTGCACTGGATATGGAAAACGGAATATACATAGAGTATCCGCTTCGTTGCTGACTAAAATTAGTGTAAGTAAATAGCTATTACTACCTTTCTTTTTTTTGGACTGGCGCATGGTCAGTGTTTTTATGAAATGAACATTGGTGGAAACCAAACAACACGTATGTTGTGGCTCGCTGGTTTCCACGACGCCGCCCGAAAGTAGAAGTCCTGGCCCGAGTGGTCTCTGCCGGGCACACTCCGGGGATACCTGACAGCATCCGAGAGCCCCGGCTGCGCGGCAGAATAATCCCGCCCAAGGAGCAGGAGGCAAAAGACGACTTGGGACCAGGGCCGGAGCGGAGGCGAAATTCGTCCACTGCCAAATTGATATGTAATTAAGCGTTTATATAAATCACGTTTGTGAAAACAACATTAAAAATTTCTATATTGGTGACCCGGAGGACACTCTTCTTTTCAAACAAGCTCATTTATTTATTTATTTACTTATTTACATATACTGCAGGCGGCAGTGTTGCCCAAGCAGGGGAAGGTTACAAAAGGAGTTTAGTCAAGAGATGTTCGAATTGGTTGACATCAGTACATTCGACAAGCAATGATGGCAAGCAGTTCCATTGTTCAATTGTGTTAGGAAACTATGATTTCTGAAAAAGTTTAGTTCTGGCAAAGTATAGGCCAGAGGTGGCCAAGCAGCAGCTCGCGAGCCGCATGCGGTTTTTCACGCCTTAAAGTGCGGCTCGCGGCTCCCTACCCTACCCCCCTATCTACCCCCTCCCCCCCCGCGCTTGCCCGAGAAGAGAAATGGAACGCGTTTTAAATCGAAAGACAGGTGGCGGTTTGGTAGTCTTCTGCTACTGCTACCTTACGTACACTTGGACTGCTTTTGACTCGAATAGATTGCAAGTAGTTCGAGTTTAGTTTATTGCTCCAAACGAAATTCTCGCCCCCCCCCCCCCCCCCCCCCCCGCCTCCCCGCGGCTTTTTGAAGTTTCCTGGTGTAGTTTGCGGCTTTTAGGCAGGGTCAGCCTGGCCACCCCTGGTATAGGCATATGACTTTGGAGTGATTTAGTCGAGCTGATCTTTGTGGCACAGGGGGAAGATAAGTGTCACTTGATAGGCCATATGAATTGTTATATAGTAAGTGAAGAAACTTCAGCCTAAAGATTTGTTGGCGAACGTGGAGCGGTTCGAGCTCAAGCTGCTTTAATATGTTAGTTATTGATGATGAAGTGCGGTAGTCTGATAAGGATGAACCTTGCAGCAAGACGTTGGATCCGCTCCACCTCCGCAATGTCTTTTACAAAATACGGGTCCCACACAATAGAGGCGTACTCTAGGAGTGGGCGAACTAGAGGCCGATAAGCTTCAAGTTTCACAGCCGAGTGACACCCTTTTGAGTTTTCTTCGAAGAAGGCATAGCTTTCCGAACACTTTGGCACATATGTTGTTGATGTGCTGGTCCCATTTGAGGTTGTTTTAATTGTTAAACCTAAGTATTCCACAGAGGAATATTCTTGAAGGCGCTGACTGCCAATATGTAGGAAAGGGGATTTTGTTTTCGTAGTGAGTGTCATTAAGACGGTTTTAGAGAAGTTAATTTTCATTTTTTGAAGGTCGCACGAGTCCGAAAGTTTCGAAATGTTTTCAGTCAATGTAGTCTGTCAGGAAGAAGTTTTGACAAGAGTATAGATAACGCAGTCACCTGTGAACAATTTTATACTAACTCATTCATCTATATTTTTGGAAATGTTGTTAATATAAAAAAACTAACGGTGCGAGCACAAAGCCCTGTGGTACACCAGACAAAATTTGTAGATTATCAGACCTAGAGCCGTCACGCTCAACAAATTTAGAGCGGGTTTCTAGATAAGCCTGCATTCAACGAACCAGCCTTCTTTCAATATATCAATAAGCAGATTGTGAGGCACGCGATCGAACGCCTTAGATAGATTTAAAAGAATCGCGTCGATTTGTTGACGATTGTCGATCGCGGCTGCAATATCGTGGACTACAGATATTAGCTGAGTCGTTGTGGAAATGTTTCTGGGAAGTCCGTGTTGGTCCTTGTCAAAAAGGTTGGTTGACTCTAGGTAAAGAGATATATGGTTAGCGATTACGTGCTCAAGTAACTTGCAACATGTGCGTATTAAAGAAATAGGTCTTTAATTCGCGGCATCTAATATGTCACCCGATATAAGTACAGGAACTACTCTAGCGGTTAATCAATCTGCTGGCAAGGAACACTCATTACTTGAGGCACTGAAACGCACGTAAAGGTACTCGGAAATTATTTCCGAGTAGCGATAAAGAAAATAGTTAGGTATGGCATCAGCACCACATGATTTCTTTACATTCATATTCAACAAAAGTGAAAATATGCCCTCACGACTGAGCACCACATCTGTCATTTGAACAGAAGCGGATGAGGAGACATAATTATAATTCACAATCAAAAAGGAGTCGGGTGTAGTACAAGCTCTGTGAAAACTGGCATTGAACTCATTTGCAGTTCCTTTACCGTTAGTTGACACAACACCATTAATTTTTAGTTGTTCGACTCGTTCACTAGTATCGGATAGAAAGCGCCAAAACTTTTGAGGTGATTCTATTAGAAAAGAAGTAAGAGCTTGCCCATAAAATATATGACGTGCGATGCGTAATTTACTGAGTAATTCGTCATTGAGGACGTTTAGCTCCGAGCAATCTTTAAATTTCGCCTTTCGTCTGCGGTTAACACGCCTCTTAAGATAAATTATCTCACGGTTGATTCATGGATTGTGTCTTCTGATTGGTTTACAACGGATATGAACAAACGTTTTGATGCAGGATGTGACGAGGCTTTTGAACATGTCCCATAGAAATGTCAACAATCAAGAAGTGATTTATTGTCTGCGCTTGAAAAATCGATGAAAGTCTTAGAAGGGGCGTTGGTTTTGTTTTCTGAATAATCAAATTTAGATGAGCAAGTTTGTGATCAGCGATTCCATCTGCGGTAGACACTGTAATATCGCCGGGAAAATCTTTGATAAAAATTAGGTCTAGGATTGACTGAGTTGTCTTTGTGACTCGAGTGGGAACCGTGATTATTTGTTTAAGGTCGTGAAAAAAGGCATAATCCAGAAGCAGGCGTGCGCTCTCGACGTCATGAGAGCCCGAAAAAGCTAACGCTTTCCAGTCCATACCAGGTAGGTTTACGTCGCCAGTGACCACACATTTTTTTATTAGGCGCGAGCATGCGATCAAGATAGTTCCCCATCAATTCACTATGTGATACAAGACTATTGGGCGGACTGTAAACGAAGCCAAATAAAGTAGAAATATTAAGATAACGGATTTCTCACCAAATGCTTTCGTTTTCCGGAATGCTTTCAAGCTTAACGATATCAACTTCTTTCTTTGCTATTATTGCTACACCACCACCTCGTTCTTCACGATGCCGTGTTACTATTTTACGTGAGGGGGCTACAACTTTGGAATCAGTAATATTTGGTGACAGCCATGTCTCTGTAACCGCCAGTACGTGATGGTCGTAGAGCAGGAGAACTACTTCCAATTGTTGAGATTTGTTAGCAATAACTCTTCCATTCAGCAGACTTATCCGAAGCGTTTTAAACTCGCTTTAAGAAAATGTTTGAACAGAGTTGGACTGGCGAACTTGTTTCGGACGGAAATTGGTAGGTTGAACCTGTTTTGGGCACCAGTTAACTTCGTCCCAAATATAAACCGTGT